TCGGTTGGGCCGCCGTGGTGCTGTCCTGACCTCCAATGCGGCAGTCTGGGAGGTCCTTTGGGGCCCTCTTGGGCCGGCTTTAAACCCTCTCACGCCGTTTTCGGGCTCTCTTTGGACGTGCCGGGGCCCTTTTGGCCGTGTGATGGGCGTCTGGGGGGCCCTCGTTGGAAAGGCGAGAACGCGAAACTCTTTCGGCCGCGAGTGAATTCAATAGTTCTGGCTTCTGCTGACCCTGTTGGAGGTCCTCTTGTGGCCATTCTGGGCCCTCTTGGAGGCATCCTGGTCCGTCTTGGGTTGATATTCGATCGCCTTGGGGCCATCTTCGGCCGCATTCCAGGCAGATTGGGCCATCTTGGTGTCCTTGGTTGCCTGCGTGGGCCTTCTTGTAATCTTGGGACGCGTACCGATCGCTTTAGCGAGGGATCGTGGCTTGGGAGGCCCTGGAGCGCTTGGGAGCAGCGCCTGAGAATGCGGGACATGCACTGTCCTCGAGCGTGTGCGCGTGGGATGAGAGGTCTAGGAGTTAGCAGCCACGCGTGAAGTGCATGGAGTGAGGGTCCAGGCAGTAGCTGCCGTGCGGGAAGTGCACCATACTCGAGCGGGCACAAGGGAAGTGGCCTCGGAAAGGAGTGGCGGCGCTCGCAAGAGCATGTTGCTAGAAAAAGGAGCGGTATCTTCCAGGCATGCCGTGGCATTCTTCCACACTTTACCGTACCAGGGGGCACGGTGGCGGATTTGTGAGGCCGCCCCAGGAGGAATAAGTGTGACATTTGCCACAAGAGGAATCCATATGTGAGGGCGCCACGAATGTTTTTTGCCCGTGGGTCACGACATAAGACGTCTGTTCGCCAGAGCGCCACAGAAGGAAGCTAGCTGCAGACAAACATAACATGCTGTAAAGCTACTACAGGAGATCCTGGACAAGGCCGCCGCAACAGGAAGTCATTCCTCAACCCGCCACAGCAGGAGCTCAAATGTAACGCTGGCAGTAACGCAATCAGCCTGTGGGCCTTGACATCAAGAATCTACATATGTATATATATATATAGATATATACACAGATACATCTATGAGGCCGCCACAAAAGGATATCGATGCGCAGGCCGCCACAAGGGATCATTCTGCAACCCTCTACAGGGAAATCACACTACAATCCGCTGAGCAAGGAAGCAACATGTAACGCCGCCATTCGGACCAAATGTGTGTGTGGGCCATCACAGTAGGAAGCAAGTTGCGAGGCCGCCACGGCACGAACTCTATATCCAGGCCGCCACACATGGGATCGAAATGTAAGCCATCGCAAAAAGGATCAATGTGTAAGGCAGCCAAAGGGAATCCTAGTAGAACCCCCCACGAAGAATCTTGTTGTAACCCACCACAGAAGGAATTCTGTTGAATTCTCAGACAAATGGGATACGTGTGTATCCACTGGCACTCTGCCCCAAAGGGAATCCTGTGGCAGTATGTCACAAAAGAAATCGTTTTGTAACTTTCGACAGAAGGAATCACCGTGCAACCCGCCACAAAAGAGATCAATGTGCAACCCGCCACAATCGGAATCCTTTTGTACAAGGTGGATCTTCTAGCAATCTGCCACGGTCGAAATTATCTTGTTCCTCCTCTCTCCAGACAGACTGCGTGTCCGAAACGGCGTGCAGGTGCATTTCCACTGGCAGGGAATATCCAGAGTGTTCGTTCAGGGCCTCGCCAGACCTCCCCCCCCCCCGCCCCCCTTCCAGGCAAGCAGCCTTGCCAGAATTCCCCAAAAAAACAACGGCCTTCGTCCCGTTGTGACTTTCTCGGCTCGGGGACGGCGTCGGCGGTGGCGGCGGCGCTCGCAGCCGCTTGCGCTCCGACCAGAGCACACGCGCCGCCACCCGGGCCCGCTGGCACCCGCGCCGGCGTCCTCCTCGTTGGGCCCGCCGCCGGCCCGCGCGCTCGCGAGCATGCTCGACTGCTGCCTCAAGGGCAACTCCAACGAGGCGCGGCCCCGGCATCTGCAAGCAAACTCCCGTGGAGGCGTGTTCTCTATTTTGGAAGAACTGAGCAAGTTCAAGCTTTGCATGGGATTTCTCCTCCCCCCCTGCTTGGCCGAGACGGCGTGCAAGTGGGTTTCGGCTTGCGCGAGGTCCAGAGTTCCTTCAGGGCCCCGCCAGGCCACCCTCCCCCCCATCCATGCAAGTAAGCTTGCCAGAGCCGGAAGAAGAACTGCCTTGAAACCACAGCCCGTGGGTGAGGTTGGGGGCGGCGAGCCCCAGGGGGGGAGGTCGAAGCGTTGAGTCCCGTGCTCGCTGGTGCCTAGGGGCTCTCTCCGTCCGCGGGGTGTTCCTCCTCCTCCTCCTCCTCCTCCTCTTCCTCCTCCTCTTCCTCCTCCTCCTCCTCCTCCTCCTCCTCCTCCTCCTCCTCCTCCTCCTCCTCCCCTGGGGCCCCCTCCCACAGCCCTTCACGACCAGAGTGCCCGTGCTCGAGGGCGCCCCTCCCAGGCAGGCCCGCGTCGTGAAGTCTTTGGGCCGTGCTCGGCCTCCGGGATGGCTCTCGCTGGGCCCTGGGGCCGTCGAGAGCAGCAACTCGGGGTGCGCAGCCTGCCCCGGGGGAGTGTGTCGAGACCTTCGCATGCGGGTCGATTTTTCCGTGGTGAGCAGACCACAGCACGCCAGAGGAGGACTTCTTCACCAAGCATGGCCGCGAGGGGAGTGCTTCAATAGTGATCGCGTTCTTATTCCTTGTTTCGCCGATCGGTGCGGGCCCTCGCACCCCCGCCCCCTATGGAGCACATCTTGGCTGTTTTTGGCGCCTCTTCCAGGCAGGTGGAGTCCCTCCCCAGAAAAGAAGGAGGAGCAGAAACACACAGACACAATTCATCGTCGATGCCCCAGAGAATATGGGGAAAGATGGGCAGTGGGGGGGAAGACAGAAACCCAGGAAATATTGGGACACATGGGGTTATTGGTGTGTATTTACTCGTGTGTCCTCGTGTGTCCCAGGGCCCCTTCATTGAAGCAAGTCATGATGTCGCATGGTCGGGCTTGCATTCCGAGCCCGCGGCAAGGACTTGTCGTGGTGTTGGGCCGCGCAGAGGCAGCCTCCCCAGGCGGTCCTGGCCGGGCTCTCCACAGGCCCCCCGGTCTCAACGCCCTGGCGCCGCCTCCGGCAGCACACCTGGGGCCGCCTCCGCGCTCCAGGTGAGACCTCCTCGGGCCACTCGGGTGAGTTCTTCTGACAAGCCGAGACTCGGGGGCCCCCAAACGGTGTGGTGACCACACCGTGCGGTGAGTCGGTGGGGATCCGGGGTCACCGCACGGTTTTGGGACTCGAGTCTTTCTCCGAGGACGTCTCGGGCGACAGGGGCCTCCAGGGTCCCAAGACCGTGCGGTGACGGACCGTGCGGTGAGGTCTTGGGGGGGTTCGAGGTCACCGCACGGTGGGTCACCGCACCGTTTCGGGACTCCAGAGAGACGACCTGGGGTGGCTGTCTGTGCGCAAGCCGAAGCCTTACCTCACCTCTGCGTCCTTTGCCTCTTCGGCGCGCCCTCGGCCCGTCCTGTCTGCAATCCCTGGCGGCGCGCAGAGGGGGGTAGGGGGAGGGGGAAGGCTTCTTAGAAGCACCCCTGCTTCCTAGAAGGTGCGGGCCTTCTCTGTAGATGTAAGGCCGGCGCCTTCTGAGAAGCAGCCTCCTTCTAAGGAGGCTTCCCCCCTCCCCCTACCCCCTTCTGCTCGCCGCCAATATCCGCGGCCCACCGTGACGCCCAGGGGCCTTGAACCCTTACAGCGCGCAGCCTTCATGCGCCCGCTGGCTATTCAGGAGAGGACAAAACACACAGACACAATTAATCTTCGATTCCCCAGAAAATATGGGAAAATATGGGAAGTGGGGGCGAAGACAAAAACCCCAAAAATATTGGAAAATATGGGGAATCGTTTTATTTGTGTGTACTTATTTGTGTGTCCCTGGGCCCCTTCAAATATCCGCGGCCCACCGTGACGCCCGGGGGCCTTGAACCCTTAACAGCGCGCAGCCTTCGTGCGCCCGCTGGCTTTGTAGCCGTCGGCGTCGTCGGCGTCGTCGAGCCCCGCGGCTCCGGAGTCGAGGCTCTCGGACGTCCCTGGCCTCTGCTGTTGCGTCTCCAGCGGCCTCGGGAGAGGCACCTGCTGCGCCGCCAGAACATGTCCATATCCACTGCCGCGGGATCGTGCCCTGGGGTCTCAGGGAGCAGTAGATATGGATACTCCAGATTTGGTAATAAATGGGAGGGGGTCTCAACCCTCCCAGACGAGAAGTTTTAGACCTCCCCCGTGGGAGAACCCTCCAAAACATCGTCCCCAGACCCCCCCAGGCCCTCCAAGATAGCCTGGAAGAGACCCCCCCCCCCCCGAAATGAGACTCCCCTCCCTTTATTACGAAATCTTGAGTATCTGCCCACCCACGCGGGCACGCAAATATCCACATCCACCACTCCTTGGGATCCCAGGCCACGATCCCGCGGCAGTGGATATGGACATATCCTGGTGGTGAACCTGCAGACCTCCCGGGGCCCCCAGGACTGGAGGTTGTCGTCGGCCGTCATCGCCCTCGTTGTTCTCGCCCTCGTCGTCGCCGTCGCTCCCAACGGGGGACGGTCGGGTCGACGTCCGTGCCGCCGTTGTCATCGTCGCCCTCCTCGTCCTCGTCCTCGTCCTCTTCGCCGACGTCGTCGGAGTCGGAGTCAGAGTCAGAGTCGGAGTCGGAGTCGGAGTCGGAGGCGAAGTCGTCGTCGTCGTCGTCGTCGTCGCCATCCTTGTCCTTGTCGTCGTTGGAGTCGTTGGGGTCGTCGTTGTCCCCGTTGTCCTCGTCCGCCCCCTCTTTCTTCTCCAGCTCCTCCTCTTTCCCTTCCTCGTCATCGTCGTAGTCGCGGTCGTCTCGTCGTCGTCGTCGTCGCCGCCGCCGTCGTCGTCGTCGTCGTTGTCGTCGTCTCGTCAGGTCATTCGCAGAAGCACGGAGATGACCTCGCTTCGCGGTCCGGGCTGGACGGTTGCTCTGTTCCCTGGACTCGGCGACAGTGCACGAGGATGATGGGACTCGCGCAGCACAGAGCGCGGAGAGAGGCTATTTACAGCAGGCATGTTGCATAAGAAGCAATCCTGCCAGCATGTTCCCTAGGGAGATGTTTCATTTTTAGGGTCCTGTGGATCCCACTGGGGACTTGGATAGCCCTCGGAAATGTCAGGAGTTGCTGGGAATGTGCCCCTAGATTTCGTGCTGCAGTGATTCTCACCGTATTGGTATGACGGGGGATCGGTGCCAGAGGTTCCCAGGCAGGTTTGGCACCAGAGAACCCCCGAGGCCACAAGACCGCGCCACAATTTTCCGACACGGACACTGAGATGCCAAATATGCTTTCCCGATTATATTGTTCGGCCCATGCGGCCGCTGTGAGGCCACGTCTAGCCTTCGTTGTCTGAATCGAATTTTGTGCGTGTGTGTTTTTGCATGCTTGACCTCCCTGCCGTCAACACGCTCAAGACGGCCGAATCCGTTTTCAATGTCGCCCCAACACGGCCGAAGATGGCCTCAAGAAGGGCCGTCTCGTTTTGAATTAAGAAGTTGAGATGTTGTGCTCTGAGGCTTCTAGCCTGGTCGCAGCTGAGGGACTGGCCCAATCTTGTGGACTGTCAGGAGGTCCGTGTGAGCCCAAGGGTGCTGCATTTTGTTCGACAAGATAGTCTCGCATAGTGTGTCTGGCTTGGCACACATTTCGACTGGATGATCGTGACTGTGGCTGTTATTGGTGACTGATCGCCGCTGCCGACGCGTAGTGGGAACCAGCAGAAAGGTTTGCCCCTCATCGTCACGTTCGTGATGCGACAACGTGACTCTTACTAATAGGCTCGCCTATGGAGACCAGTTGTCGCACTTGCTCCTGACCTCTAAGGCCTTGCACGCTCTTGATACTGATTCCACCCTGGTGGAACACATGTTCAATGTTCCAGATCGGGACATTTTCAGTCACAGTGATCGAATGATAATGAATTTGAGTAGTGGACATCCTGGCACCAATGAACATAGTGGCAAAGTGCGAAACGCTGAATTAACTCCACGGGCGACTCCATGGGGCTTGCATGCCAGGTGCTGTTGCTGCTGAGCTCAAGTGATTCCTCTCCTGTCGTTCGACTTCGCGTGGTCGCACACATCAGCCGCTCCTACTCCCGACCGACCGCGACAAAATTCTGGGCGATTCATATGCTATGCCTTCATGGGGCCTGGCCATGTGTTTCGCAGTGAGGTTGCCAATCGTCTGGGTTCTGACCACTCGCTGGTTCTCGTCCGCCTGTGGCTGCATGTACCGCCCAAAGGGGGGGGATAACATGGGTTGGTGAAGAGGACGGCATGTTCGATGCACCCCGCGCTGCTCCAGCGATTCGCCACAAGGCGACTCTTCCGAAGCCACTTGCAATCGTTTGTGACGTTCTACCTGGGAGATTCTGCGTTGGTGGGGCAGGCACCTCCTCCTTACGCGGAGCATCTCGTGTTCAAACGTAACCTGAGATGTCGTGGCACAGATTGCACGCCACTTGTTTTCAACAGGGGTCAACCTGCTGGTCACGGTTGTCCAAGTGCACAGTTGGAGGAGCTTGATATTGTGGAAACGCCAATGGTGTCGCATAGTTGAGTCCCGTACAGGAATGCCGCCGTCACCGCCCTTTGCGGAGCGACGCTCGGCCTCCAAGCTGGTCTCTGCAGTGGGGTCTTCAGAATTCGGCTCTGCCTCTCAGCGGGTTTCAGCAGTTTTTTTTGCTGTGCAGCAGTTTCTCTTGATGCTGGGCGCCCTCTCTGCAGGCAAGCCGCGTGCGCAGAGGCATGCCGAGTGCCCGCGGTCCGCGGTCAGCTGCTTTGGCTGGGCCCAGCCGCACCAGGTGCTCTGACACTGATGGCGGTGGTCCCGTCTCCCTCTCCTCCTCCTCCTCCTCCTCCTCCTCCTCCTCCTCCTCCTCCTCCTCCCTCCTC